GGCTAATTTTTTTGATTTATTGTAGAGATGAGGTCTCGCCAAGTTGCCCAGGTGGGTCTCAAACCCGCAGGCTCAGGCATCCACTCACCTCAGACTCCCAAAGCGCGGGATTACAGGCTGAGCCACCAAGCCTGGCTATTTTTTGCTTTATTATAGAGACAAGGTCTCACCAAATTGCCCAGGCTGGCTGAGCTGACTCTTTTTTTTTGAGTCGGAGTCTCACTCTGTCACCCAGACTGGAGTGCAGTGGCACGCTCCCAGCCACCCCAGCCTCACCCTGCTGGGCTCTGGCGATCCTTTCACCTCAGCCTTCTGAGTAGCTGGAACTACAGGTGCACGCTACCACACCCGGCTTATTTTTGATTTATTATAGAGACAAGGTCTTGCCAAGTTGCCCGGGCGCATCTCGAACCCACGGGCTCCCAAAGCGCGGGGATTACAGGCTGAGCCACCAAGCCTGGCCTGAGCTGACTCTTAAGGATGAGTCTTGCCCAGGGGAGGAGGGACAAGACACAAGTAGAAGGAACAGCAAAGACACAGACATAGGAAACAGCTGTGTGGGTACAGAGAGGAAGAAAGGAGTAGATGGTTGGTAGTAGTGGGAGGAGAGACCTGAGAAATTTATGGAGGGCCCTCTAGGAAGGACCTAGGAACTGAGGCTTTGTTCTGTAAGTGATGATCCCCACTTGTCACCCATCCAACCCAGCCTGCCAAGGGCATTCTGTATAGTTTGATGATTTGGGAGAGAGTGGGGGGTCTGGGAAGGAGCCCCAGTCTGTGGCATCCCCAAGCCATTAGCTGCAGCCGAAGCTGTGTGGAACTAGGTGATCAGATCAGTGACAGGCACATCCTGGCCATCCCTGGCCAGTGTGGCCTCAGAAGGAATCTTTTTTATACCTAGGACAAGCTGTTTGAAAGCATCCAGGAGGGCAAGTATGAGTTTCCTGACAAGGACTGGGCACACATCTCCAGTGAGGCCAAAGACCTCATCTCCAGGCTTCTGGTTCGAGATGCAAAGCAGAGACTCAGCGCTGCCCAAGTTCTGCAGCACCCATGGGTGCAGGGGGTGAGTGACTCTAGGGAAGGTGTTTTCCTCCACTCCAGACCTGTCGCATGGCCATGAGAAACTCTCATACTGGCAAGTGCTAAGCACCAGCCTGGTAGCTGGCCTCAGCTGGAGGAAGCAGCTTCCATCTTTGTGCATGGAAAGCATATTGGCTCCTTGCTTGGACCTCTTACAGACCACAGACTAAACCCCAAAAGAGACCTCTGAGGGATTTGGTACATGCACCCCACCATTGGCAGAGATACCCAGCCCAAGAAGCAGCATGGTGTTGTCATTTGGGGCCTGTTATACCATTCCCTTTAGAAACCACTAGCTGAGAGTGTCCAGAAGCAAGAAAGGCCTTGCTGCCCTACCTGTCATGTGGTTGTGATGGGGCACATAGGTTCTCCTCATGGCCTGAGAGGCAAATGGTGGCTTTTCTTTAAGAATCCAAGTCTTCACTGGAAAACATTTTTTAAAATTCTCACCAGGTATGGTGGCTCATGCCTATAATCCCAGCACTTTGGGAAGCTGAGGTGAGAGGATTGCCTGAGCCCATGGGTTCAAGACCAGCCTGGGAAAATTGGCGAGATCTCATCTCTATAGTAAATCAAAAAAGTAGCCAGGCATGGTGGCGCGTGCCTATAATTCCAGCTACTTGGAAGGCTGAAGCGGGAGGATCACCTGAGTCCAGCAGGTTAAGGCTACTCTCTAGTCTGGGTAACAGAATGAGACTCCTACTCAGGAAAAAAAAAAAAATTCTCCTTGATTAGTCACGATAGCTGACTTCAACTCCTTCAAGGGGTCTGCCAGATCCTCCTGTGGTTTACTATCTCCTTGGTGGACCAGGCCCTAGCTGGCCTCAGTGACCCTCAGTGGAAGGAGGCAGGTTGCCAGACCTAGTCCTAGTGTAAGTGGCAGCTTCCCAGCCACCCAAAAGGGAGCATCTGCCACATGCCCGACACTGGCAGTACAGGGATGAGTGTTCTGTCTTCATGTTCTAGTGGAGAGAGATGGACCAGGGAATGAACTACAGGACAGTGTGATAAGGGGCACAAAGGGCCCAGGATTCACCTCTGCTAGGGACCGGGGCAGGGAGGCGACAGGGAAGGGTGACTGCTTCACTGGGAAAGTGGCCCTTGAGCTGGGTCCTGGAGGATGAGTAGGACTTGGGCAAAGGGAGATAAGGGCTCTCCATGCAGAGGCAGCTGCACTGGGGACTGTGACTTCAGATTGCACCTTTCTTGCTCTGTCCTTGGAAGGCCTGACCCAGCAGGCAAGCATAACCAAGTGCCTGTGATGGGCCAAGAGCCTGTAGTAACCTGCCCACTCCGTGTTGCCTTGGTTGGGGGCAGCTCTTGGCAGGAGGGCGCAGCATTCACCCACACATTTGTCTTCCCATTCTAGCAAGCTCCAGAAAGGGGACTCCCCACGCCGCAAGTCCTCCAGAGGTAAATGCTCCAACCACCCCCAAAGCCCTTCTCTCCTTGGCTTTGACTTTCCCACATGCTGTCAGCCATGATGGGGGTGGCAGTGGAAGCCAGGGAGCCCATCTCCAGCTGGGGTATCCTCCCCATTTTCCCTCCTTGCTGTTTCCCTCTACTCTAGATCCCATCTCCCTCTGTTTTCTTCTTTCACCTAGATTGTGTCCTCTGCCTGCCAGCACCTGTAAGACCCCTCCTTGCAATGCGTGCAGGAAAAAAACCTATTTTGCCTGCCCACGTGAATTGTAACAAAACACTACTTCTAGCCCAAAGACAGACCTTACCTGTGGGTCGTTCACACCAAGGTTTCCCACGGCTCGTGCAGTTGGTGAAAGTAGCAGGAGTCAGGGGACACTGCACGGCAGTAATAATAATGGCCACCATGTATCAAATACCACATGTCAGACTAAGCACTTTACATATGTTATATCCATGATCTTCACAACTAAACATAAGAGGTGTTCTTAACATCCCATTTCATAGATGAGAAAACTGAGGAAAAAAATACTAAGCTAACTTGCTTAAGACCACACAGTAAGCCCTGGTCTGTTTGACTCTAGAGCCTTTTAAAACTGAACTGTGTTTCTGGTGAGCACTGCCCTGTTCCCAAAGGGCTGAGGCTAAACGTTGTGGAAAACCCTTTCAGGCCTACCCTCATAGCCAGTTTTTAGGAGCTACGCAGGGACGTCCTACACCTCCATACTCAATTCATTTGACTCAGTTGCTGTTTTCCAGCTTGAGTTCCTACCTTATTGTCTAGAGCTACCTCCAGATGCCTTGAGGCGCCAAACCTCAGATGTCTCTTAGAAGATTGACTCAGCAAACCCAAAATGCCTGTGACAGGTTCTGGGGACACAAGTATAAACAGCATGGCCACTGCTCTGGCTGGGTAGCGGAAGAGGTGGGTGAGTTTAATGAGCTGGGGCCATCCTCTACTAGAGCTGTGTGCAGTGTCAGAGTCCTGGGAGCTCAAAGCAGGGTGCCCGGAGTAGAAGGGGACATTTACCCCTACTATCCAGTCCAGGGATGGCACTGTGCACTCAGAGGCCATTCTAGCAAGCAAGATTCCATCCCAGGCAAGAACTACTTTTGGAGAGAGCAAACTGCCAACTCAGGAAAATCTGGTGGAAGTATAGAAACGCAGCAAGTGGGAGCATCTAGGCTCTGGCCTGACTGACCCTCGTCCCGCCTCCCTCTTTTCTGTGCCTTCCTTCGGCTCTTGTAGGAACAGCAGCACAATGGACTTGACGCTCTTCGCGGCTGAGGCCATCGCCCTTAACCGCCAGCTGTCCCAGCACGAGGAGAACGAACTGGCAGGGGAGCCAGAGACACTGGCTGAGGTCCTCTGCTCTGTGAAGCTTTCCCCTCCCTCCAAGTCACGCCTGGCCCGCCGGCGGGCTCTGGCTCAGGCAGGCCGCAGTGGAGACGGGGGACCTTGCCCGACACCCACAGCACCCTGAACCACTCCGGCCAAACCTTGCAGATCCTAGGCCTGTCCAGGCATTGCCCCCTAAAAACCTGTGTGGCCAAAGTCTGCCAGAGCAGGCAGCAGGGTCTGCTCCATGGCTTCGTTCAGGCTTTTCGTCTGTAAAGGCCCTGCGGTTCCCACCCAACCCCCCATTTCCCCAGGGCCCTGGAGGAAAAAGCTTTTTCCAAAGGGGCTGTCTTTGAAAAGAAAAAGCAATCACTTGTCACTTTGCATAATCGCCTGCAGCAGGAACTTCTCTGCTGGGCTCCACCTGCTCACCCGCCTGCAGATCCAGGATCCAGCCTGCTCTCCCGCCACAGCGGCCAGGGCTGCAGCCTTCAGGGAGCCAGCTTTGAGAAGCAAGAAGCATCCGTTGACAGAGGCTGACGACAAGTGCCTCTTCCCTCCCTGCACTCTCACCCTCCTCTGATGGTCCTGCCACCTTTCTCTGTCCTCCAAATGTCCTCTTTGCCTGTCCTCCCCCTTGGCTGAGCAAAGCCATCTCCTCAAATCAGAAAAGACTAGGGAACCATCCTCATTCTGGGATCCGGGTCGGTCTTCTGGTCTGTAGCACAGAGAAGCACATAATCTTTCTTTGCCGTGACCGAGTTGTGTCCCTCATTTATCATCCTCTTTGTTTGTGATTGCTGCTAAAGTCAGAATTATTTCTTTCTTTTTTAAAAAAGGCTTGCTTTTTTAGCCATGGTCTTCCAGCAAAGATGGGGCTGTAAGCTCCACTGCAAGCCCATGGACTTTCTAGAACATGTGCTGGCTTGCTGTTCTTTCTGGAATGTCCGTCCATTCATTTGGGTTTTAATCAGCTGTTCTCTATTATAACTGGTTTAAACTGTTACTATGACGAGCCACTTAGAGACAGTGGAGACAATGTCAGGGTCTGCTGCTGCAGTGCCCCTCAGGCCTTGTGTGGAGGGTGGCAGAGATCTGAGCAGGTAGATGGAGCTCTGTGCCTGAGTGAGGCCAGGTTGGAGGCAGCCCCACTGCCCTGGTCTGAGTGATGTGGTGCCTGCTGACAAAGAGTATGAAGGTACAGCCATTGTCAGATAAGCTGAATGGTTGAGTCATATGGTGAGATTTACATAATAGATTTGTATATGGCAAACACGTTTATACAACACAACAATGCTTTTATACATTGAGCTTGTTTGAATAAAACATCTAAATTCTAGCTGTGGCCTACTTGGTGGTCCTTTCTTTGCCTGCAGATGTGAGAAGGAGACAGGCCTTCTAGACGATGGCTGAGTCCAGCCGGATGGAGAGAAGGTGCCCCTTGTCAGGACTCTTCAGTATAAAACCATATTTGACCTGAAAAACAAGGTGAAGGAGACATTGCTATTCTTGTTTAAGTGAGGAAATGAAATTCACCAAACATTTATAATCACTTCTTCTGTGCCAGGACCCAAAGATGAGTCAGAAACAGCCCTTGCTTTTTAGAGGTTTCCCATCAAGGGGTAGAGGTGGTGTCAGCCACCAGGACACAAGGAGACTTCAAAAAGTGCTTTAGTGGATGGCCACTGTGCACAACTGGCCCAGCCTCCAGAAGTAGGGGAACAGATTTCCCCTCTGTGGAAAGCATTACTAAACTTTCACTGAGGACATGTTGTACTCCCAAAACTATGTCCCGCCAGAGTCGGCAAAACAGAAATGGCGCCTCCCGTCCACAGCCTTGGTGTACACGATGCAAAGAACTTTCATGTTTATTGTCCCACATGATCCTTAGAGCCAAAATGGAAAGGGTCCCCAAGGAAGTAGCAAGGGGGAGGTTCCGAGTGTCAGGACCGTAGACTGGGTGTTCATGGCTTCTTTCCCTCGGAAATCAGAGAGGGGAAATGGGATTAAGGGCTCTTCACTCTGTGGACAAGTAATGGGCCAGGCTCCCGGCTGTCCTGCTCCGTGAATGCCTCCACATTGATGATGGCATAGTTGACAGTCTTCCCTTGGCAGTAACCCTAGTCAACCTCACATCTCATCTTTCTGGAGTGGGGTCAGCTGGAAAAACAGACCTGACCTATTTGACCCAAAGTCTCCCAGGCCCTGGGGTCTCAGAACCAACATAGGAATTCTATCCCTGGACTCTGACTCCAGCCCAACCTGGTCAGTCCTCTCCCAGTTAGGTCCAACAGAACTGTGGCTTCCAGGGCTTCCTGGGTCAAGCATTCTCCATCGCTAGCCCACATCCTGTCCTGGAGCAGCTGCCATGGGCTCTCAGGCCTCTGTGTGTGGCTCAAGCCGTGCCCTCTCCCAGCCTAATCCACCTGGAAAAGCGCCCTCTGCCCCACCCCCAGCCTGCACAACTTTGTTTAAACGCTTGTGTCTACTTTGGCAATGCTAGCACTGTTGTGCACTTCCTAAGTAACAGGTACCTTCTAAGAAGTTCATAGGCATTGGCATTTAATTCTTCACAGCAGTCCTATGAGGTAGATACTATTACTTTATCCCACTTAACATGAAAAACCAAGCAAGGAAAGGAAAAATAGCTTGCCCAGGGCTGTACAGCAAGGAATGGTAGAACTGGAATTCCAGAGAGGCCTGGGACCCAGAGCCATACTACCTGCATTCAAATCCCAGCTCTGTCACTTACTAGCTTTGGACCTTAGACAAGTTAGTCTCTGAGCATTTGTTTCTTCAACTGTAAGTGGGGGGTGATAGTGTGACCTCATGGAACTGTGGTGAAAGTTATGAATTAGCAAGTGTTAAGAGCAGTTCCAGGCACACATAGTAGGTGCTCCATAAATGTTAACTGTTGAACTTTGCAGCAACTTGGATGGACTTAGAGTCTATAATACTGAGTGATCTATCACAGAAACTGTTTCTGGGAAGCTGCCAGGGGAGGAGGAGGGGTGGGATTGGCAGTAGTGGGAAACTGCCAGGGGAGGAGAGGGGGCACACCTCATTATGCAGGGTACCTGCATAATGAACATTTGAATACCTAACCCTGAACTGTACCCCACATCTTTAAAATTTTTTTTTAAATTTTAAAATATTAACTGTGAGAGTTTGTGTTGTAGAGTTGGCTCCCCTTATCCACGGCTTCACTTTCCATGATTTCAGTTACCTGTGGTCAACTGTGGTCCAAAAATAGATGAACACAGCATGGTTAGATATTTTGAGAGAGACCACATTCACATGACTTTTATTGCAATATATTGTTATAACTGTTCTATTGTTAATCGCTTACTGTGCCTAATTTATAAATTAAAATTTAGCATAGGTGTATATGTATAGGAAAAAACATGGTATATACGAGGGGAGACCCCCCCAAAAAAATGGAATTATTTTTTGGAGGGCAGGCCCTATGTAAGATGGGCTTTCCCTGCTAACTAAGTGTCCTAAGACCCCATCGACATCAGTGTACCAGCCAACGTTGTTGTGAGAGGCTGTGTTCAGCTTCAGTTAAATTTTTTTTGGGGGGGCGATTCAACACTTTTGCCCATTTCATGATGAGTGATTTACTCAAACAACCTGCCCACATTGCACTGAGTGTTCAGCAGTTTTTGACCAAAAACAGCATGACCCTGTGCTCCACCCTCCCTATTCACCTGAGCTTGCCCTGAGCGACTTTTTTTTTGGGGGGGGTTTGTTTCTCCAGATGAAAAAAGTCCTCAAAGGGAAATGTTTTGCCAATTTGGAAGAGGTGAAACTAAAAATGGCAGAAGTACTAAAAGGCATCAAAATTGAGGAGTTCAAAAACTGTTTTGATCAGAGGAAAAAGCATCTCGATAGGTGTATTGCATCAAATGGATGGTACTTTGAGGGGGACTGAAGTTTAAACATGAAAATACCGGGCATAGTGGCTCACACCCATAACCCCAGCACTTTAGAGAGGCAGAGGCAAGAGGATCGCCTGAGCCCAATATTTGAGACCGCAGTAGCCGTGAGCGTGCCACTACACTCCAACTTGGGTGACAGAGTATGACTCTAACTCAAAAAAAAAATCAAAGTAAATATGTAAGAATAAATACACAATCTTTTATAAATAAGTCCCAGGAGGTTTTTGGGCCCACCTCATATATAGGGTTTGGTACTATCTGCAGTTCCAGGCACCCTCTGAGGGTCTTAGAACGTCTTCTCCAGAGATAAGGAAGTACTACTATATTAACTGTTGTCTACCGGGGCAGAATTATTCAACTCATGGTCCCCAGTATAGGAGATGAGCACTCCCCCTTTCTTAGACCCAGGGAGCCCTTTACAGAAGGGCTGTGTGGTATTGAGATGGATCTGGGGCTTTCGAGATAGGCCAGGCCTCTGGCCCTCTGTGGGATCCTCCTCTGGGCGGGCTCTCTGCCCTTCTGGGCTGGAGTCCCTGTCCCTGAGGGGTAGCTGTGGCACCAGAAGAGGAGCCTGAGGTTGGGGCCAGGGGCCCTGGGTCCTAGTCCTGCCTCTGCTGCTATTCACTGGGTGACCTTGGGAAGTCCTGGCTCTGCTAGGCAGAAGCAGATACGGCAGATGCGCTGAGAAGGCTCTGGGACCGGCAACAGCGGAGGCCAGTTCCTCAGGTCTAGGCCTCATGCTTGGGCTGGGCCTTGGAAGGAGAGAGTGGGTTCCAGCCAGTTGGAGTGTCTCAGACCTCAGGCTCTTTCCTTAAATCCAGTTAGTAGGCCTTGGCCCAGCCCCAGTCCCGGTTCAGTCAGATCCTGAGGACTCTTGTTTGAGGGCTTCTGGGCACAAGGACCATACAATCTTCATCCCTGTGTTCTGGGGGCCCTCCTCCCTCCTGGCCGACTGCCCCTCCCAGATCAGCTTCATGCAGTGGTGCCTTGGTCCTGAGCCAGCTTCTTCAGGTCTGGAGGGGGCTGAGGAGTAAGGTCCCCCCCACAAGGCTAGCACTCTTGTTGCCATGGTAGCAGTTGCCTTGGAAGCCACTTCCCTGACTTGAGCTTCTGAATGGTCCAAGAAAACTGCCTGTCCCCCGGGGGGTTGGTGAATTAATCACACTCTTTTCCAGGGTTCTCACCCCTCAAGGAAAATAAACAGAACCAAACCAAGCTGGGGCCTTCTCGCCTACTCTTCCTCCCCTCTCCCACGCCACACTTGGACTTGGTGCTCTGAGAAGGAAAGAGCACAGGCAGACACCCTCCAGCCCTTGCCTCACCAGGAGACAAAGAGGAGTGATTTTGTGATGGAACTCAGCAGTGTGCCCATGGTCTCACCACACCTGAGAACTGTGGCCTCTAGGAGGACCCAGACTTCGGTGAAGAGGCTTCGATGCTTGGGAGGGGTGGGGATTGGTGAGTTGGTGAGGCTCTGGTAACTTAGACCCCCTCTCAGCAAGGCCAACAGAGAAAATGTCCTTAACGCATTTACCTATTTCTGTAAGCACATCACCCAAGGACAAGCATGCACTTTCTTTTTTCAGAGATGATATGGCCCACACTGAGGAGAGAATTGGCAAGTCTTCCTCTCTGCATTTGTAATCAACGCATCGCAAGTGTTTCGGGAGCCTTTAATGACATTTGGTCATGAGAGAAAGATGAGGGCCTTGACCGATCCTTTTGAACACAATGTCTCCCTTTAATGTTGGGATTACCCCAATAAGACAGTATTGAAATTCAGGGGCAGAAACATGCTAGGGGACTTCCCAGCTGGGCAAGAACTTGGGTGCGTGGGTTCCATCAAGGATTCTGGAGCAATTCCTCTACCTCCCCTTGCCTCAGTTTCTCCATCTGTTCAATAAAGGAACTGGGACAGCTCTGCAGTTCTGTGATCTTATGACTGATCGTGGCTAATGTATCTCTACTCCACATTTTCTCCCCGACCCTTTCAGTGCCCTGAAGGATTTACAGTATTGAGGAAGAGCTCTAATTTAGAATTTGGCCCCCTGTTTTTGGAGGGCAGAATGTTTTCTGGGATCTGAAACAGTGCACAGCATCCCTGGTTCCAGTCTTCACCATCCTCATCCCCAGATGAGGCCAGTGGGCTCAGGGAGGTAGAATGGCTGGTCCAAGTGCCACAGCGCAAGGCAGGAAACATGTCCCCAGGAACTTCTGGGTGATGGTGCGGGAGAGTTGCCCTCAACCTCAGACTGCCCTCCCCCCCCATCCAGGATCACCAAACACCGTGTAGGGGGCGAGGGGATAGGGGTATCGTGAAGGGTGTTCAGACTCCCAGAGCTCAACCTCTCAGGAACACATTTTCATGGATAATTATTTTGGTGGTTCCTTCTAAAAT